AATGGGCCTCCCGCCGATGTTCAGACGTGGGGAGTCGTATTTTAATTTTCTAGTGATTACCATGGCCCGGGTCTTCTGGGGTGCAAAATTTAGTTTGTTACGGACTCCCCATTGCTGAACATGGGCGAGGGCCACATTGGCGCCGCCCTGTATATCCGTAGAGCTGTCGCCCGAGAACATCAGAACCACATCGTCGGCAAAAGCCTGGCAGTGAACCCCCATATCCTCCAGTTCCACCAGGAGCGGATTCAGCAGCAGGTTCCAGAGCGTAGGACCCCCAATGGAGCCCTGCACGCACCCCTTAGTGGGCTTTCGGGTCCACTCGCTCCCCGCATACCTGACGCGCACTATTCTCTCATTAAAATAGTGGTCGAATAGGCGCCTCAGATTTGCGGGGCACTGAGTTTCGGCTAGGCTGCACCTCACAGCCGGCCACCAGGCGTTATCGAAGGCCCCCTCTATGTCTAAAGATATAAGCACAACGAGCTTCCGTCTTTCAACTTCCGCTCGTATGTGCTTAATCATGTCATAGAGGGAGTCTTCGGTCCCGCGTTGTGGCATAAAGCCGTACTGGCGCCGACTGATCATTGGTGCAGTGTGCCAGCGGACCCGCCTCACCAACATCTTTTCTAGAGTCTTGCCCATAATGGGCAAGAGGCCAATGGGCCTGTAAGCCTTGGGATGCGTATAGTCCTCCTTATTGGGTTTCCTAAGCACTACAACCGCTGCCTCTTTCCATCTCCTGGGGAAACACGCTAAGGCCAGGCAGCGATTTGCTATTGCCAGGAACAGCTCTGGATCGAGAGTGATGGCGGCTAGACAAATGTCCGCGGTGAGGCCGTCGGGGCCAGGGGCCTTCTTGGGATTCCTACGTTTGTCTATCGTCCAATCAAGGACAATATTAAAGGCTTATTATTTATCAGTCAATTAGGACAATACAAATTAGTCATAAAGGGGCATATCTTAAGAACAAAGTAATCAAATACCAGATAAAAACTGTTTATAAATATCGCAGTAAAATATTGATCGTCATTGTCACACATTTTATTACTAACCATTACAAATATAATAAGCAAAATGAATTACAACATTAAAGGAGATCTGGAAAATCTAACTGAGCGACAGTTAGAATTTTTACGTGATGTGCTCAGCAAACAAAAATACTTAATACAAGATGTATCCTTAGAAAATATTGGTGAGAAAGGTGACAATTACGGTTCTCAAGTTAAAAGAGTCATAGTTAAGTTTGAAAATAATAAAGAGTTGAAAATGATAGCAAAAGTGAGACCAGAAAATATGAAAATACAAAACGAAACAATGAACTCTGTATTCATCAATGAAATTGTCATGTTTAATGAAGTACTTCCAAAGTTTAAAGAGCTCCAAGAAAGCGTATGTGTTCCGAAAGAAGACGTATTTAAATATCCCCATTGCTATGGAACTCTCGATGAAAGAGACAATGAGATTATACTGTTAGAAGATCTAGGTGTATCAAATTTTATTATGTTAGATAAAATTAAACCATTAGACAATAATATAGTGAGACTTGTTCTTAAGAATATGGCAAACTTGCATTCTTTGTCATATGTTTTAGGAAGAAGGGAACCCGTATTTTTTAATAAAGTTTTGGATACATTATTTCATCCGTTATACCACCCTAATAATGCGACTCAGTCAGTAATCTTTCTGGAGAATATAGTGAACGAATTTGGTGCTGTTTTTGCAACTAGCAGATATCGAAATATTATTGTTGATGTTATGCGGGATTTTATTAAATCACCTATTAAATTAATATCAAGTGATAACAAGACGAAGTACAGTATTATTCAGCACGGAGATTTGTGGACCAACAATATTATGTTTCAAATACAGGTATGCTATTATGTCTATCCTACTAATCACAATTTAGTGTTTATTTAAGTCTAATTGCTTCGTTTTATTTGTTTTTGTTCTTGTTAAACACTCATATTTGTTTATCTTGTAGATATATATACCAATGCTCAACTAATTGGAACTTTCCTTTCAGGGTAAACAACCAAGTACGTGTACATTCATAGATTACCAACTCTCTAGAGATAGTCTTCCAGCTTCTGATATTCTATACTTCATATTTAGTTGCACAGATTATAAAACAAGATCAAAGCATTACTATGAATGGATAGATTTATATCATTCAGAATTAGACAGATATCTATCATATTTTGACCTCAAAGTAAATTGTATATATCCAAGAGAAAAGTTAGACGCTGATTTAAAAAGATACACTAAATCTAGTCTGGGTATGTCATTTTTTGTATTGAATTTTTCACTGAGATCGTCACAAGAAGCTCCGGAATTAGTGATGACTGAGATTGACGGAAGTCAGGAAATACCTCATTTCAAAATGGGAGAATTAACCAATAAAACCTTTGAAGCAATCAACGAACGAATCGAAGGAGTTATTGAGAGCTGTTTTGATTTCGGATATCTAACTGATGTACGAAGAATATAATTATAATAAAACCCTGCCACTATCTGTAACTTTTATTTTACCATTTATAGTCCAAATTGATTCTTATGCTGAAATTGTGGACATACAAAAGGTTATTACAAATAATTGTGGTTCAGTTAAATCGAAACTGATAAAATAAAAAATCTATAAAAACATTAAAAGATAACGTGGTAAAAGAAATAACTTGGTTAATTTCGCAATGTTTTTATAATATCAAATGAGCCCCTAAATGTTAGGATCTTCACAATTATTCAACGATTAAGACATATGCCGATTAGTCATATCATAGACTATCTAAATACGACCGTAATCAAACTTCGATAGTGGAAAAACATATAAATAACGTTGTAACTGTTCCTTAAAGTGATAAAAATTGTATAAACTATAGCAAAATGTCTTACGAATTTAAAGGAGAATTAGAGAACATAAATCAGCGGCAAAAAGAATTTATTAGTGAAGTGCTAAGAAAACAGAATTACACAGGGAATGATGTGATTATAGAAAACCTTGGTAAGAAAGGTGACAATTATGGTTCTCAAGTTAAAAGAATTAAAGTAGTGTTTGATAATGGCAAAGAGTTTAGAATGATAGCGAAAATACTCCCAGAGGCTATGAAAGGACAAATTCAATTAACTGCAAATGATATTTTCCATAATGAAGCTCTTTTATTCAATGTAGTATTGCCAAAGTTTAAGGAAATTCAAGAAAAAATTGGTTTACCTGAAGAAGATATGTTCAAATATCCATTATGTTATGGAACTATGGTGGAAGTAGATAATGAAATAATATTATTAGAAGATCTAGTTATGTCAAATTTTACAATGTTGGACAAAACTAAGACATTAAATAATGAAACAGTAAAACTTGTCATCAAGGATGTGGCAAACTTTCATGCCATGTCGTATGTGTTGAGAAACAAAGAACCAAAAACGTTGGACAAACTTTTGGAATCGTTGGTGAATCCTATGTTCGATCCAAAGAATATTGCACAATCTCAGATATTTTTCCAACAAATTGCAAGAGATGTGATAGAAATATGTCATAGTAGTAAATATAGGAATGTCATCAGTGATATCATGCAAAATATAATCACACCTTGGAAGAAATTAATCTCAAGTGATAACGGTTCAAAATACAGTGTTATTCAACACGGAGATTTATGGACTAACAATATTATGTTTCAAGTTCAGGTATGTCGTAACCTTTGTTACTAATAATGTAACTAAATTTAGCATTCATTGCCGTTATTAAATAATATCTCTTATCTATAAATATAATAAAATTGGAGTGTCTGTAATATCAAAGGAAAAATTACAGATTTCGGGAAGATATATTTGCGTTGCTGATAACGCATCGCATTTAAAAAATTTTGTCTGTCTGTCTGTCTGTCTGTTCGCAAACCGCGTTTGTTCCGGGCCATCTCCGAAATAGCTGGGCCGATTTCGATTGGACTTTCACTGGAAGGTAGCTTAATTTTGTTCTTTGATAAATAACTTATGTAATAAAATTCTATTTTTCAGAATAACCAACCAACTAAGTGCATATTTTTAGATTATCAAATGTCTCGTGAAAGTCTACCAGTTTCCGATATCCATTACTTCATATTTAATTGCACAGACTATGAAACAAGATCCAAACACTACCATGAATGGATGGATTACTATCATTCGGAATTGGATAGACATTTAAATCATTTCGGTCTCAAAGCTAACTACATTTATCCTAGAGATAAATTCGATGCTGACCTGAAAAGATACGGCAAAGCAATGTTGGGTGGGTCATTTTTTGTATTAAATATAACATTGAGAGAAGCACAAGAAGCAGGTGATTTGGTAATTGAAGATAGCGAAGACGGTACCGAACAAGTACCGAAATTTAAAATGGGAGCTATTAGAGAAAAAACTCAAGAGACTATAAAGAATCGAATTGAAGGACTTATCGAAAGTTGTTTTGAATTTGGTTATATGAATAAGAATCTACTTTCTTAAGAATTTTAATTAAATTAAATTGTAGTTTCTACCTCAGATTTGTTTTGATTTATTAAACTACCAATTTTTTTATAATTCCTTATTTGCGTTTGCAAGTTAGTATGAATACTAATATTATAAATGCGAAAGTTTGGATAGTTGGATGGATGGATGTTTGTTAGAGTTTGTAGCCTAAACGGCTGAACGGATTTCGATCAAATTTGGTATAGATGTAGAGGATAGCCTGAAAGAACACATAGGCACACACTTTTGTTTCTTTTTAATTCCACGCGGACGGAGTCGCGGGCAAAAGCTAGTGCTTTATAGTTTTGAATTATTGCACGAAAAGGTCAAAAATCAGTCAATTTTAACCTTTAGGTTATGATTAGATGACCTTAAGATTAAAAATTACCTGAAGGTAATTATCGGGATTTCTTATCTAGTTAGTAATAAAAAATAGGAATTAACGTATTTTTACTTTGTTTACACTTTTAACTGCATTTATTTATTTTTCAAAACAACTTATTATTTTTCAATCCGTAACCGAAGCATCTGAATTTATTTCGGTAAAGTAATTTCGCTTTTCGTATACCAATTTGAAGATAAAAAGAAACATTATATCAAAGGGATGGCTTAAAGGCACTGCCTAAAGAAGCGTGCATTTTTTTGTATACAAAATTGTGCTCCTTTGTAAAGCAGTGTACTGATTTCAGGCCCAAGGGTGTGTAAAATAATATTTTCAATTCAGCATATGTACACTTAAGAATATATTTGATAAAACCGTTAAACGACTCCGTCGGCGACAACTTAAAAAAAATTAGTAAGTCTATGTGTTCTTCCAGACCATCCTTACGTTTATTCCAAATTTCATAGACATAAAGGTACCTTTTGAGAGAAAGAAAAGATTATGAGATTTTTACACACTAACGGCCAAATATCAAATACCGAAACGACATGTATATAACGTCTTAAATGGCCGTAAAACTCTCATGTAACTGCAAGGTTTCTAAGGTTTTTTCCGATGAAACCCGCCTATAATATATCCACACCACACCGGCTAATATTCCATTGTAACCTAAACATTTTTATCTTTAGCATTTCATGATAATTAGTCGATTTGGAGATAGCAACAGCTGTCGTAACTGGCAACTGGCAACTGGCAACTGGCAACTGGCAAGCTGTACATTTCAATAGTAGCACTTAACATCTCAAATATTTTTAAAAGATCAGATATTGCTATCTCATTAATGTTTTAACAACTATTATAAGTTAGCTAACACCCGAATTCGTCTGCGTGGAATTACAAAAAAACAGTAGACTATGTATTCTTCCAGACTATCCTCTTCATTTATGCTAAATTTCATCGAGTTCCGTTCAGCAGTTTAGGCTACAAACTCTAAAACATCCATCTAAACTTTCACATTTAAGTTATTAGTAAAAAAGTTAAACTAACTGGTATATTATGTAGTTCGTTATTTCTTGTGTATATATACTTGTTTCGTCTCAAACAGGTGATTCATTTTTGTTATACCAACGATATAAAACAAATTCTTTTAGTTCTGGGTATTTATCTGATAACTTTATCAATTGATTTAGATAATATACAATGATTTGGCATAAAATTATGATTCTTATTTAGGTTGTAAGAAGCTAGTTTAAACCTACATTTTATTTATTATTAAAGTGACTCATTTTTTCATTTAGATTTCCTTAAGATAGTTTTCGTGTAACGCAATGTCTGGATCCATTGCTGCTTTAGTTTAACAATTGTTTTATTAAATTTTTACATATCTTGCAATGTATCTACTATGCTTGTTTTTACAATATGTTTCGACTAATTTAACATTTGTATTTATACATGTTTTTGTGTCTATTTTTTAGTTAAAAGCGAGTACACCTTTGACTGAACTATCGCATAACAGTCGTGCGATTGTCAAATGTTTCGCACGCAATTCTGTTTAGTTGCACAACTAAAAATCGAGTAGTGTCCTCACCTCCAAATAAGCACATAGGAATCAAAGCGGGATAATCTAAAACGTAATCACAGCAGTCGTAAGTTGATGAATATTGTGGAACAAAAGGCAAAGACGTCCTTAAATCAAAGACAGACCTTTAGGCAACAAACTTTAGGAAAGAAAAATATTATACTCGTGTTCCTTTGTGTCAAACGAATCGCCTTGGGTTGTAAAGATTTAAGATCAGACTATACTTTACATGTTCTACAAACAAGGTTTATTCTTTGCACATCTTTGTCTTTTATCGAAAGTTAAAATTACTGATGTCAAAGTCTTTGACAGAGGTTGAGGAATTAACTCTTACAAACTCACTTTTCTATAATAAAAACATTATTTTAATTAATAAAAACTAGTACAAACTGCTATCATTAAATTTGTCCAAAATCTTAAAAATATGCAATTTTTTAACTTATACTAATTAATTTCTTAACTTAGGCAAAGTTCAAATTTCGCGGGATACTGCAAGGAGCAAACATCAGTAGCAGACGACAACGGCAGAAGTGATTTCTTCTTCATTTTTATATAAACCGATTCTGGTGTATGACTGAAATTGTTGTGTGACAGTTGCAGTTCCATTACAGACATCAAATGTTTGCTTGCTCGTTTGTACTTTATAAAGGGTTACCAACATCAAGTTACTTATTTAAAAAAAAAGGAAGTAGCCTATGTTTACTGCCAGATTATCCTCTACATCTATGCTCAGTTTCAACGAGATCAGTTCATTAGTTTAGGCTTCATAATCTGAAGAAAGAACTGTCTTAGCGAGCGTTCGCACGGACGCGAAAACGCTAGGCGGTAACTATGTGTCAAAATAGAACGTATGGGATTGTATGAAGCTGTTCATAC